TGCGAGAGCAACCTGGAGCCCCTGTTCGAGGGCTACATCGAGACGCTGAGGAGGGAGGCCGAGTGCGTGGAGGCCGACAGCGGGAGGCTGGCCTCAGAGCTCAACCACGTGCAGGAAGTGATGGAGGGCTACAAGAAGAAGTGAGTGCGGCCGGGAGGATAGTCTCAAGAAAGGAAAGGGGATTAAGCCAAAGCAGGATAGATTCGGGTTAGACCACAAGAGGAACTTTCCAATCGGAAGAAGACAGTGACAGGAAGCCTGTGAGGACAAATGCTCTGGGAGTTCACACATTGGAGAGAGGGGAGCTGCTCCAGCTACCTCGTCCTTATGCGTTGGTTTCATTAATTCCTCAAATGTTTATTGACATCTACTCTGTCCCGGGTGCTATGCTAGGCCCTGAGGTGGGATGGGGAGGGCTGAGGGGGGCACCAGAACTCGTATGGGCTTCCTGCCCCCCAGGGAATTACAATCCAGAAACAGAAGGCCTACAAAAATGTGCACGGCACCCCCAACCCCAGTCACCACCCACATCAGGAATGAGAACCCCTGAAACTGGAAGAGCCCTGGGTGACAGGTTGGATGAGTGCCCAGAAGAAAGGGATAGACAACACACTTTTTGATTCTCTGCCTACCTCCCAAAGATCCAGTTCTTGGAATGTGTTTGTCTGGGCCTTTGTTCTCTTTTTTCGGTTCAAATCCCAGCCTATTAAAGTTCTAGCCACTGAACCTTGTGCCCTTTATCTCCAGATACGAAGAGGAGGTAGCACTAAGGGCCACGGCTGAGAATGAATTTGTGACCCTGAAGAAGGTGAGCGACCCCGGAATACTTGCCCCCCAACTCAGAAAGCAGGGCAGAGGCAGGAGGGAGCGATCTGTAATTCAGAGAGGCTGAGCGACTTCCCCAGAATCACATAGAGCAGGCCCCCCAGCCCCGCCACGCCCCAGTCCTCCCAGGGGGGCCCCCCACATCGGAGCACACCACCTGCTTCAAGCAGGGCACCCTCATCTTCCGTCCGAGGTGACTCCCATCTGGCCGATGGCCTCCCACCTCCTCCTGCCCTCTGCCTGCCAGGGAGTGGGCGTTCCGAACTACTGTGAGTGAAAGAGCCCGTGAATGCTAGGGGGTGGCCACATCCTCAGGCCGGCAATAGCTGTGGAAGGCTGGCTGAACAGTACTGTTGTTCCTCACCCCTTACACTTGATCTGCCACAAATGCCATCACATGGACCCCCTCCCACGTCCTTCCCACCATCTCCATAGGACGAAGGCAGGGGTTACCGTAAGGAAACTGAGGCGCAGAGGTCAAGGGTCTTGTCCTGAGTTGCCCTGGTTTGGAAGAGGCAGAATTGATCCCTGAGACTTCTTCTGACCACAGATCTAGATTTCTTTCCCTGAGGTGGGAAAGAGGGCTGGGGCATCATTAGAATGGACCCATTTTGCACCAGAGCTTAAGTTTCAGTGGTAGTGCAAGGTGCGGATTCTGGAGCAATCATCCAGTAGGTACCAGGGGAAGTGCCTGGAAACCTCACGGTCCCCTCCCTTACCCAAACCGGCTCCTGACCCCTCTGACTGTATAAAGGATCCCACCAATGCCACGATACCAGGCATTAGGATGAACAGCTAAGGAGGGTCTCCAGGGAGTTTGCCCAGCCCGGCGGGTGCCCTCCCAGGTGGGGAGAGCTCTGTGTGGCCTTCCCAATGAGACACCGTGCCCCCTTCTCCCCTTCAGGATGTGGACTGTGCCTACCTCCGCAAGTCAGACCTGGAGGCCAACGCGGAGGCCCTGACTGAGGAGATCGACTTCCTGCGGCGCCTGTATGAGGAGGTGAGGGGCCCCGGTCCAGGCGGAAAACTGGCAGCCAGCCTGGAAGAGGGGGCTCTGGTCTAGGACTGGAGTTGGCCAGGGATCTGGGCTAGGGCTGCAGTCCATGAGGCTGTCATGTGAGCAGGGGCTGGAGACCAGGGAAGGGCTGAGAAGAATGGGTCCACACTGGTGGGTGAGGCTGGGGTGTAAACAAGATCCTTCCATCCTCCCACCCCCCACCGTCTGCAGGAGATCCGTGTTCTCAATGCGCACATCTCAGACACCTCGGTCATCGTCAAGATGGACAACAGCCGGGACCTGAACATGGACGGCATTGTGGCCGAGATCAAGGCTCAGTATGACGACATCGCCAGCCGCAGCCGGGCTGAGGCTGAGTCCTGGTACCGCAGCAAGGTGAAGTCCTGGTACTGCAACTCCCCCTTCCCAGAACCCCAGCAGGAAGGATGCCAAAAGGGCTTTGGTCTTTGTCTAGGTGGGATGGGTAAGGGAAGGGCAGGCAGCTCTCAGGACAGGGTGGCAGATATGCAAGTTGTGGGGCTCAGTGGGATGACATATCCTGAGCCTCAGGAGCATCTCTGCTCCTCTCCCTCCACCCCCCTTCCCCACCCAGTGTGAGGAGATGAAGGCCACGGTGATCCGGCAGGGGGAGACCCTGCGCCGCACCAAGGAGGAAATCAACGAGCTCAACCGCATGATCCAGAGGCTGACCGCTGAGGTTGAGAATGCCAAGTGCCAGGTAAGGGTCACCTGGGGCCTCCCCAGGGTCACACAGGCGGTGTGTGTCCTCAGTGGATCTCACCATTCATGCTCCAGCCCATTTGCCTGACCAGCATCCTGGTTGTGGTCCCTGGGGGAGACTCAGCTGATGAAGGGGAGAGGTCTGTTCTTGGGGTGTCCCCAGCTGGGGGAGGGGAGAGACTGGACACATCCAGGGAATGGACAGAGAGACCCAGGACCATAACCCACCTTGTTCTCCTCTGGGCCCCCAGAACTCCAAGCTGGAGGCTGCAGTGACCCAGTCGGAGCAGCAGGGCGAGGCGGCTCTGAGCGATGCCCGCTGCAAGCTGGCGGAGCTGGAGGCCGCCCTGCAGAAGGCCAAGCAGGACATGGCTTGCCTGGTCAAGGAGTACCAGGAGGTGATGAACTCCAAGCTGGGCCTGGACATCGAGATCGCCACCTACAGGCGGCTGCTGGAGGGCGAGGAGCACAGGTGGGGCCCACATCTGTGGGAAGAATAGCTCTTCAATTTCCACAAAATGTGCTTTGATCCAGGTGCATATTTGCATGTCATTTGCATGTCATTTGCATCAAGCTTGCGTGGAAGAGGGAATTTGCAAGGGTTGCTCTCCCCAACTAATTTTTGTCTCTTTGCTCTCCCTACAAGGTTGTGTGAGGGCATTGGTGCTGTAAATGTGTGTAAGTAATCTGTACTGTGGGTTCTGAAATAAGGGCTTGGGGTTCCTGGTGGGCAGGAGGGCCAGATGGCAAATATTTCAGGCTTGTGAGCCACCTAGCCTCTGTCTCAACTACTGGACTCTGTCACTGTAATGTGAAAGCTACAGCCATAAGCAACACCTACGGAGTACGTATGGCTTGGTTCCAGTGCAATTTTATTTACAAATACAGGAGGCCAGCACAGGCTATCTTTGAAACCCTGAAAGGAAGGGGGTGGGTGGCAGTGAATGATTGTAAGTTAGATAACTACTTATGATTACAAGTTAAATAGCTATTTCTGCCTATAGGGAGGACCTGGGCAAAGAGTTTATCAAGGATGCTTGAGGCCAGAGTGCCGGAAGGAGTGCGGAGTAGGGGTGGGGCGGAATGAGGTTGTCTGGGGGGTAGGGAGGAATAGAAATGGAGGGAAGGAGCTCTGAGCAAGAGAAGGGGGTGCTGGCCAGGAGGCAGGGGACTAAGCCCTGTTCTCCTCCTGCAGGTGTCAGCAGCTCCCGGGGCGGGGTGGTCTGCGGGAACCTCTGCGTGTCCGGCTCGCGGCCGGTGACCGGCAGCGTGTGCAGCGCCCCCTGCAGCGGGAACGTGGCGGTGAGCACCGGCATGTGCGCGCCCTGCGGCCAGAGGTGCAGCAGCAGCTCCTCGGTGCGGTTCGCGTAGCACCTCCCGCTCGGTCAGCACACCGCTCTCCCAGAGAACAGTCCCTGCCTTCAGAGGTGGGGCCCGGAGCAACCAAAGTCCCTGGGCTTGAAGCGGAAGGGCTCGGAGAACCAACCGCCGACCTGGCCGAACGGCAGCCTTATCGTCCTGCATCTCCTCCGCCTTCCCCCGCCCTTGCTCTTCGCGGTTTCTTCGGGGGAGGGCCGGGCTCCCCGCCCAGCTGGCCGCTGCGCTCGTCCTTCCCCCCCGCCCAGGAGGCTGCATGCCTGGGTCCCTGCGGCCCTGCGGGGAGATCCCATTCTGACTCAGGCTGCTCCGGGGCCTGGCCTGGCAGAAACCTGTGGCTTCTAAGGGACACACTGGCCCGCGTCCTCGGCTGTGCACGGCTGTGGGTGGTGTGGCCGTGCTGCTATCCCACCGGCCCTCCCCTGCCTCCCGAACCTTGGCAATGACTGAGGCTGCAGCTCCACGGGGACATCTTTCCCTGGCTGGCTCGGCTCCCTCTCCCTCATGCTTAGTCTCCACGGTTCCAATAAAGCTCATGGGTCATATATAATGTGCTCAGAAAATCTCCCATTTGTGCCTCCACGCGTGGACTTCCAGCCCAGTTTTTGCCCCTGGGAGGCTGACAGAGAAGGCGTTCGCAGCCACGTGTCCTCGCAGCAAGAAATGCACTCTGGCGTCTGGCGGCCCAGAACCTGGGGGTAGGGGAGTGTGCGAGCCAACAGCCTTCCCACTCCCTCAGCAGGAGAGGACTCCAGTGCCCCCTCCCCATCAGAGCCCCAGCCCTGGGAGGAGGCCAAGGCCTCACACAGGCTAGGAGCCATGCCCCTTAAATCACCACAGCACCACGGCACCCCCGTGCTTTCCCAGGCCCCTGCAGAGACGGCTCCTCAGTATTCAGAGCACACCCAGTCCTAAGGCCCCTTCCTCCCCAGCCCTCTCCACCCAGCTGATGAAGCCAGGATACCAGACACCAGGCTGGGCCTCACCCAGGCTTCAGAAAGGCTGCTTTATTGGAAGCTATTCTGACATGATTTTTCAAACTGCCGGGCAGTCTTGGTAGCAGGGATGGGAGTCCGCCTGTGACTGCGGGGGGGAGGGGTATGGATCTCTGCACACCAGGGCTCATTTTCGTATGCTCCTATGGGTGGCAGCTGAGGTCCCGATGGAATAGGACTTGAAGGTCCCAGGCCCACCGCTCGAGAAGCTCAGGGCATTGCTGCCCATGGTTCCTCCAAAGGCCACCCGGCTGCCACCTCCACCAGTGGAGTTCACCACAGCTAGGGGAAAAGGGAGAGGGTTCCATCAGCACAAGGCCCATCACCTGAGGCCCCAGTCCTCACTCCACCCCACTCTCCTGCTGTGCCTGCCCCTCTCCCTCCCCACTGCCTTCCCACCCCACCACCCTCCTGGGGCCAGCCCACCCCCCACCCCCACCCCCGCCAGAAGGAGCCTGGGGCAGCCGTGGGGGCTGCAGCACAGGTGTGCCCTGCCTCACTCTGCCCTCTTGCACGGCTCCCCTGGGCCCTTGAGCCTGACTTGCTGGGAGCTCCAGGGCACCTGCTAAAAGCTGGTGAGGGAAAGAAGCTCCTGGTCCAGACAAGGCCAGGCCCTCAAGCCAATGTGCCATCCTGCAGACCCAGCCTAGTCTGGACAGCACAGGAGATGGGCCACAGCCAAGGACTTACAGATATTCACAGCTCCCACTCCATCTCCGGCCAACCTGGGGGGCAGAGGAGAGACCTGTGAGCAGCTCTTTCCTCAGAGCTGGAGGAAGCAGTCCCAGGGCCCCCTCCACCCAGGAGCCAGCAAGACTGGTATTCCTTCCTCTGTCCCCACACCTTGGTCCTCCTTCAGCGTTGTTGCAAAATAAGGGGGGGGGGCGAGGGGAGTTAACGCAGGCCCTCCTACCTACTGGCCACGTGACCTTGGGCAACATCTCAAAGCCTCCATTTCCTCACCTGACTTAGTCCTAGCCTCACAGAGTTGTTTGTAAGGGCTGAATAATATAATTTACCTAGCGCCCTGGGCGCACAGGATCTGATGAATGGTAGCCGTGATTATTTATGAAGACGGCTGCCTCCCCTAACCAAATCATAAAACCCTCAAAGTGGGCTGTAGCTTATTGATTCTTGGATCTCCGGCCCCTAGCATGAGGTCTGGCATGTAGCAATTATTCCGTATGTACTGAAATAATTAGCGAATTGTTGCTTTCGTGAATGCTGCTAAGGCTGGGACTGAGGGAGCAGAAGGCAGTCGGGGTGGCTTTAAGCAGCCCTACTGGAAATCGAAAAGCCATGGGAGACAGTTGGGCGTATTTGTTTTGTGACTCACAGCTCCATTGTCACCAAGCCCTTGGCCTTGGGGTTGAGTTTACTCTGCAGTGGGGAGGGGAGACCTCACTTTGGTAGAAGGAGTGAGGGGAGCCCAGCTGGCCTCATCAGCCCCAAGTTCAGGAAGAAGGCAGAGCAAAGGACAAGGGCAAGAGATAGATATGCTAGGAAGCTTCCAGGCCCCTTGTTGCACGGGCCCCTGGGAGTGCTGGGAGTCACTGGAAGTTGTGGGTCGGGAGGGAAGCCAGGGTGAAGTCAGGTAGCAATTCCATGTAACAATTTCTGGTGCTGTGCCTACGAACTCAGGAGGAAGAGACCTGAACATCTAAAGCTCTGGTGAGGAGTGTGATTTTTCTCTTCTCATCCTAAGTAAATATTTGTTTTTGTGCCTAATTTTATATTCGTGACTCTGTACTTTGTAACCCCAAATTGCATAAGCTTCTAAGACCACAAATCCTAGACCTGCCCCTGGGACAGGTGGAGGGGTTATGGGATCAAAAACAAGGAGTCCATCTCCATGTCCCCTAAGAGGCGGAGAGAGGACAGTTGCCTCTCAGAGAACTAAGCCCCGATGATAACAATCTACACTAAGATTAGGCTTTCAGACAGAATGTTTCCATTCTCTGTGCAACCTTGGGCATGCCACTTGCCATCCCTGAGCTTCAGCCTGCTCAGCGGCCCATGGGAGGAAGCGGATCCAGCCCCATTCTATGTATGCATCCCCAGCTCTGGTTCTATGAGGAAAAGAAGCCCAGGGTATGTGTTCCCAGGAGAGCGTGGCCCCTGCACCCATGGTGGCAGAGGGTGCAGAGAGGCATCGTGGCTGGGACAGCTGGGCTCTGGGGCTGCCCTGAGCCCCAGATCAGCTGCTCTCTCTTCCCAGGGGCCTTTGGTATTCAATTCCTCTTCCCACAAAGACCAGATGCCAACCCAGGCAGGCATGGGGCAGTGGCAGAGACCCATCCTCCTCTCCTTCCCCAACTCCTATCCTGCGGCCATGTGTCTTCTCTCCTTCCTCCCTGCATCCAGGCACTCTGCCCTAGCACTCCCTCGTTCCCCAATTCCTTCCTGTCCATGCCATCCATCCTCCAGCTTGTCTCCCCATCCCTTCAGGAAAAATGCTCCCCAAAGAAAAAGTTCTGTAGATATTCAGCATTTTACAAATGCACATGAGTGGTCTCTAGGTGCTCCCTTTACAAATGTTTGGTGTCCTCAGCCCATGCACGAGCTCCCTGAGGGCAGAAGCGCGTCTTACATATTCTCTATCTCTGAGCTGGGTCCCAACAAGCCAAGCCCTGATGAGTCCTACCACCAAGCCTTGGCAACCACGCTGTTCCCTCTCGCCCTCTCCAAACCCTAACCTTCGCCCAGGGCACAAGTCTAAAGCCTGGCAAATTGACTGAATGAATCAACCAACCCATCCCGGTGAGAATGAAAGCCCAACTTCACAGACATAGGTTCCGTGTCTTCACGAAGAATTCCTATAACACGAACCCAGCCCAGCCTGCTCTCTGGCCACAGGTATGCAAATTATCTGTGGGACCTCCCCACATTCGGTCAATATCATGTGACTTACCACTCAGTGATGTGGCAGAAGCAGCCTGGCATCATGAAAGATCCCTGGACCAGGAATCAGCAGAGCTTGACTGCACACTGGCCCCTCAATTCATAAAACCGAACCGCAGTTTCCCCTCTGTAAACTAAGCAACTATACCTGACCTGCTTACCTGAATATATTGTGAGGATCAAATAAGATGACCCTGGCCACACATGAAGGGACCGTTATTACCTTCAACTTTCCCATTGAGCTTTATACCACATGGTCTTTCCTACTAGAAGGGCATTTCATCAAGAGCAAAAAAGCAAGCATCATTTACCCTCCCTACACTTCCCATCCCTGGTGCCTTGCAGAAGAGAGGCCACAGAAAATGTCTGTAGATGGATGAATGTCAAGTCCCAGGCCCCACCGAGCCCGAGAAGGATCCCCTTCCTGGCTTCTGTGTCCTCACCGGCTCTCCTCGCCCTCCAGCAGCTTGCGGTAGGTGGCGATCTCGATGTCCAGGGCCAACTTGACGTTCATGAGCTCCTGGTACTCGCGCAGCTGCCGGGCCATGTCCTGCTTGGCTCGCTGCAGGGCGGCCTCCAGCTCCTCCTGCTTGGCATGTGCATCCTTGAGGGCCAGCTCCCCACATTCTTCGGCCTCGGCAATGGCAGCCTCCAACTTGGCACGCTGTGGGCAGTAGTAATGGCTGTGAGCTGGGGGGCAGTCCTTACCAGTCACCGCCTTCCTGCTTCCCCATCCTGCAGCAAGCTCCTGGGCAACTTGCTCATGGTGGCTTCACTGGCACCAGTCTATTCTCCCAGCACCAGGGAATCCCCAAAGGTTCAAAACATCGGCTCTGATACCCAATGCCTAGGCTCTGATACTGGCTCCACCACTTACTAGCCACGTGGTCTTGGACACACTCACCTTCCAAAGTCTCCTCTCTTCTAAAACAGCAATAATCACAGTGTCTGCCTCATAGGGGTACTGCAGGGATTAGATGGGGTAATACACAAGTCCCTGCCAGTGTCTAGCACACAGTTAGTGTTCAATAACTGCTATTATAACTGCTATTATTTTTTTTGTCAACCACCAATCTGGTCTCTGTTTCTAGTTCTGCT